CCGGCTTCACTCAGCGTCTGCCTGGGCTCAACAGGGCCTACCATCTCAGTGACCATCTGGTATAATGAAATAACTGGAAATTTAAAGTTCCAGTTAAATTTCCATTTTTTAAGGAAAAAACTGGAATTGATGGCTTACCCAGTTTATATTCTTTCCTCCCCAGTTTTAGCAGCTGAATATCATTTTGGATACTTAAGAGAACAAAAAAAACCCATTTCATTTTTCCCAGAAAAAGTTTCGTGGACTGCTCGGCGCCTCTGGAAAGCCCAGCTCCCTTGTGGTGAGCAGACTTTCCAGAGGGAGAGGAGGGTAGCCTCTCTTGCCCAGAGAGAGGTCCTTTTCCGGTGAGGAGACCTGCCTGCCTGGACCCAGCCTGCTTCAGCCTCCATTTCGGGTGAGTATCTCTGCTCTCGGTGGAGCAGAAGCTCAAAAACAGACTCTGCCGTGAGTTCTGTTCCTTTTTGGCTGTGCAGCCCCACAGATGGGAATTCATAGCGTTCTAGGCTTTTAGCTTTCTGCCGCGTGTTTAGCTGTCTTTTGGAATCCGCGCCGGCGGTGCGGGAGTGCTCTTTGCCCTTCCCCCTGGCTCAGCAGCGCAGCGTGTTCAGCTCGCCACGGCGCGGGGGAGGGGACTCCGCTCTCTCTCCCTCTGCGCGGGGGAGTCCGGTTTCGACTTGCCACGTGGACGGGGGGAATCTCTCTCGGTGCGGGGGAGGGGGGTGCTCTTTGCACACGCGGCGTGAGGGGCCCCGGTTTCGGCTCGCCACGTGGTGTGGGGGAGGCTGCTCTCTCTCTCAGCTCCGCAGGGGGAGCTGCATTCCACCGCAGGGGAGGCTTTGTGTCTGCCTCAGCTCGGCAGGGCGTGCCCTGCCGCTGCTGCCCGGGAATTTTAAAAGCACTTTATACAGCTGCACTGTGAAGGTTTTGTCTGTTCGTTATCGCCTTTCTATCTGTGGTTTGTTTTAGAAATCGGTAGCTGATTTTGGCTTTGTTTTCGGTGAGGCAGGATTTAAGTACTTTGCTTTTTACATCTAACATGGGTTCGAAACTCAGCATTGTACAAAAAGGAGTGTATTATAATGTTGTTAGCATTTTAGTCAGTGGTAATGTGAAATTCTCCAAAGGAAAATTGAAACAGTTTATAAGATGGCTTTTTCTACACTTCCCAAAAATGTCCCCTGAAGAAATCCACGATATTCAATTCTGGGATAAAGTTGGGAATGAATTGATAACCTTAGGGCAAACTGGCAATGCACCCTCAGCTAAATTTGTGTTTTGGAGTTTACAAATTCGAACAGCTTTGCTCAAACAAAAGGAAAATGGAGAAAAAGTCAAATGTAAAGCCATGTACCTCTGCTCTCCCTGTTTCTCCCTCTCCTAGATCTAAAACCCCTAAACCTCTTTCCCCAAAACTTGGTATTTTAAAGAAAGCACACTCATTGGGAAGTCAACTCCCAGAGTTTGCGAAAATGCCTGAGTTGTCCTGTTCACAAAACCCTGGCCAGGCTGCGTGGAACCTTTCCCGACCCCCTGTGTCCCCTCCTCTGAAAACCAGAGCACGTGTCAGCTTTCCAGAGAGCAGTGATGCCCAAAATGGCCCCCAGTCCTAGGGGATCCACAAAAGGGTGGATGCCATGTGGCATCTTCCCAAACCTTGTCTTCTTCTTCCCAAAATCCTCTTAAGCATCCTAAAATTCCATCCCCATCCCCCTCGCCTCCTGTTCCTTGTGACATCTTCCCCCCTCCCCCTCCCTTTCCTGCAGTACCCTTGGCTCCGCCTCTCTACTCCTCCCAGGGGGCGTCTGCTGATGTGATGTCACCAGGCATCCCCGCCCCCTGCCTGCCCCTTGATCCTGCCCCTTGTTCCCAGGGTGACCCCGCCCTTTGTTCCCACAGTGACCCCGCCCCCTGTTCCCATGGTTGCCCCAACCCTTGCCAGCCCCCTGTCCCCGCCCCCTGTTCCCACGGTTTCCC